ACGCGGAAGCGTCGCGTGATGAATTGAGAATGCGGGTACTGGGCGGAAGTGTTAAAATCGCATTGCCGCCCGATGATTTCAACACATACGCGCAGGCGGAAGTCTTGCAAGACTTGAGGTGGACAACCTTTGGGTTTTTATTTTGAGATCAATGCACTTCGCGTGTGTTGAAAATGGCTTCGCCATGTTGCGTGCGCGTGGACTGTGTCACCATGTTGTTTGCCCTGTGTCCTTGGAATCCAACTATTCGCGCGAATCGAGTGAACATTCATAATATTTGCTGACGCGGATGAGGGGGCGACTAGATGCTTGCATGACAAGAAATGAATCCAAATGGAAAAATTAACGATGAGGCAGACACATGTGCAATTCGCAATGTCCCAAAGGGGAGGGTCGATAATCCTGGGGGGGGGGCCGACCCGCCTCGTAGAAAGAGGCACGAATGGAAAACATGCGAACCAACGCAAAACAGCGCACAGCAGTTCAAAGCAATGCACAGCAGATCGAAGCAATGCCCAGCAGCGCGGAGCAAAACGAAGTACAGCAACGCAGAGCAACGCAACTCAATGCGGTTGCAAAGCACAGCAATGTGATTGCAAAATAGCGCAACGCGATCGTAATGAAGAAACGGTGGTAAAACGGGGCGGCGGTGACGGAAAACGGGGACGGGGCCACCCGGGCCCGCAGACTAACCCAGTTCCTTTGGAAGAAAAATAACCCAGAAGTGCAAGCACTGCTTGGGACATGAAGGGGAAGGGGGTCGGAGGAGGAAAACGACGACGAGGACGTTGAGGAGGAGGAGAAGGAAGAGGACGAGCATAATAAGAACAATGGAATAAGAACAATGGAAAGGAGACGGGGGAGGACGATACAACGGGATATGTCGACCCCCATCCCAAGATTCTTTGAATTTCCCACGAATGGACCGGCACTGTGGGGCCCGACCCTGGGATATATGATGGGGGGGCGTCCCCCCTCGATAGTCAGACAGACAGACGGAGCGCGTGGGCACAAGGAAAACAATGCCAGCCAAGACTCTCCGCTTTGCGGGAGCGGCTGCGTCGGCTGTCTACATATTGACACCGCGCGCTGCTTGAGGGCGACGGGGGAAAGGAGGCGAAGGAGGAGCTGGAGGGAGAGACGCAACATCAATCACGAATCTGCGCCAGGCTGCTGGCTCACAGACGCACTGCATTATTGCCTGCTTCGGATGAAAATTCGGAACGACACCGTTGTACAAACACTTCGCCCACTCATTCCTGGGCCGGCCTCGCTCTCGGACGCAAGCGTCTGTGGCTGGCTGCGCGCTTCCTGGTTGGGAAGTGAGGAGCCGCAGACAATCTGAATCTTTCGCTCTACATATTTTGCCATACCACAACAGCTGATGCCTCAGAGGTTGCACCGTATTATAGGACGTATGGCCTGCTTGCAAAGCACTTGTTCGTTTGAGACTATTTAAATGTACGGGCGGGGAATATGAAGGATTCGGCGTTGGCATCTTGCTCGGCAGCCGCCCAATCTTCTGCGTTCAGCTTGTTCGAGCCACGTCGAGTTCAGCGGGTGCATGACCTTACGCGTCACAAGCGACTGAAAGACTTGAAGCTTTCTGGTCGCAGAGATTGCCGTGCGTTTGAGAGCGCGGCTGCGTCTGCAGAGCTCGCCCCACGCAGCTCCGAATATATTTCCCAAGTCTCCGCGCAACTGACCAGAGTTTGACAGCGTGGCCCCGAAGTAGACGATTGAGTCTCTTGCCGGGACTCGCACGCCGGATGGCGTCCAGAGGAAATCTTCGCAACGATCCGGCAGGTGTAATTCCATGCCTGCTCGTGAACCTGCTAAAAAAAATGCCCCCAGCTCACACTGTGGCTTGTCAAGATTGCGACCCACAAGCCAGGTGTTACCCGCGTGCAAAAATATGCCCAATGACCCTTTTCTTAAGCTGACCGTACTTCTGCGTATCCGTGGTTTGTAGCATATCGACATGCCATTGTCATTACCATGGCGAATAGGACCAGCAAGAGCGGGGAACATTGTGAGGTCCCGGATACTTGTTGTCGCTCCAATTACCGGTGTCGTCCATCCGCCACGCTGAATTTTTCTGCCCTCGTAAGCGTGGCCAATAAGTGTAAGGACGCGCCGAGGATCTCCAATTTTCTCGTGTTTCTAGCAGCGACTCGACGTTCAACAAATCGAAACCTGTCATCCAATCGAAAACGACAAATGCTGCACCCCTATGTCTGCGTAAGCTAAATCAATATACCGGTGTACGGCGCGTATACCATCTGTCGTTAAAGGCTTAACGACTTCTGCCGTCCTTCGACTCGCGCTGGAGCGGCCGCGAGTTGCTTCACCTTTCCTCGGAGATTTTTGGATTTACCCGGATTTGTTTCGATCTGCCTGGATTTATCTGGATTTACCTCGATTTATCTGCATTTACCTGGATTTTTCTGGCTCGCTCCCCACAAGTCGATCGGCGAAAAGTCGACAAGCCCTTAGGGAATCTGATGTCACGCGCCCTCTTCGGAAGCCAAAGCGCGTTGGTGATACTTTGTCCTATGCCCCTGCATCTTGTAATCGCCGAGGACTATGGCCAGCTATGAACTTACACGCGACACGCAGAAGGCTGATGGGGGGGGTAATTGTCGCACTTGTCGACGACCCCCTTGTTTTTTTATGTCGTATGAAATAAAAGGCTTCCAGTCTTCAGGCAAGGCCTCCTCGTTCCAGCCCGCCTGGGTCTGTAGCAATAGCCTTCCAATGCTCTGCAGGGATACCGTCAACACCAGAAGCGTTCCTCGTTCGAGTTGGCCACTTGCTTTACCAACCTCCGTATTTGTGAATATTGATAACTGGTAAGAAATCTCTAGATGGTACGTCTAGCGGCTCTGCGGTCCTCACCTCCCATTGCACATCTGCGGGATACTCAGCCATTGTCTCTGCTCTCGCTGTGTGTCTTCCACTAACTCCCCACTCATGTTTTTTAAGCCTCCCGTGGCGTCGTGGTTTGGGCCGGCAGTGTTTTCTCAAAGCGTCCCAGCTGCCATTTGAGACTTGCTCATCAGCCCATGCCGTTTTGTCAAATTTGCACGATGTGCAAGCCATTTTAATCGCCATTTCTCTTGCACCTTTCTGCGTGCTCGTGCAATGCTGCGGCGACTTATCGAACCAGGCGTGCGAGATGAGATCCAAGGCTTGATGATTTTCCCTTCGCGGTGTGGCAGGGCCTCGGCCGCAAAGCGGGCCAATGCTCTTCCTTGGTCCCACATGTCCTGCAAGCTAATCGCCGGCATCGTAGAGGAAGATGCTGCTTCCAACAACGTTCTCACGTATGTGTTCCGACCACCACGTCCTGCATGGCATTATTGTCTGGTCGTCTCGCCGCTAAGTAAACCTGACTTCTCAAATGGCACCGTCAATGATGCAATGACCAAGTAATGATCCGTAGCTAGGGCTGCCTCTCGGTGGCTTCTTAACGAAGCAATGTGTGATCGCAAAGTCGAGTCACACAATATAATTTCCAACATGGTGTATGCATTTTCCGATATACCTCCCATTGACAATGCCCCAGCCTCCTTGTAATTCGATAATTTTGTCGTCCAAGGGGCACTGCACGAAAGTATTCGCTACTTAAGAGGTCCAAGCTCGTAAACCATTCCACCATGAGGTCCCAGTTAGGCTGTTCGACCTCGAGTTGTGCACATCGTCCCCAGCCAAAGTCTCCTAGAATACTATGTTCCTATGTTTTGAAGGGAAGCTGGGACACACAAACAAATACACACAAATAAAAATATTCCCCATATTTTCTTATATTTTCTGGGTTTTTGTATTCCCCACCACTTCCCATATTTTCCCATATGTTCCTGGGGATCGACGATTAATTGTGTCTGTGTGTTTTTTCCCCTCCTGCATGTTTGCACGACCCCCAATCGAGCAATGAAGCCCCCCAATACCGATTTGCTGGCATTGGCATTGCATGATCGACACGTAGAGTCAATTATTGAACAGAAGTGGCGTCTTTCAGGAAGGGGCCGAAGAATGTGAGGGGCATGCCCAGCAATGCTACTGTTCCCAACCCAACTTTCAGTTTTATCCAAGCCACTCGGTCCTCGATAGCGGTGCGTCCGACTAGCCCGCCTTGGGGTGTATGGTGTATCCCATGCTTCCCCCCTTGTTCTGAACGGCCAGACTTTTCGGGCGGAACTCTGGGATTTGGGGAGAAAGATCGCCTGCGAGACGAGGAGGATAGAGGCCTCCTGGATGGGGTCGGAGTGGATGGGGTCGGAGGATCGCGCCGCATCGGCGATGCATCGGCGATGCATCGCCGATGCACCGGCGGTGCATCCTCGACGTCGGCGATGCCCCGGCGACCTCGGCGTGAAACTAATCGGGCTCCACATCGAGTATCGAGCCGCATCGGCGATGCCTTGGCGCTGCGGGGCCATCCTCCCGCCCCATCTGGGAGGCCTAGAGGGGAGTAGAGGGCGAGGACGAGGAGTCAGGGGCGGGGCCAAAGATGGGGGCGTCCAAGAGGGGGGGGGTGCAAATCATGGCCGGCGGCATGTGCTCGTCCCAGGGGGGGGGAGGCCAGGGACGCAATGAAACAAGAAGAGGCGCCATGAATTCTGGAGAAATATCATGGCCCACGCCATGATATCCACCCCCCTTCCCCCTTCGTCATCACCCCCCCCCCTCTTTGCCCCCCCCCCCGTCTGGCGCCACGCCTACTTGACGTTTCTCTCTGCTCACGCACCGGCCGGTGCAAGGCTTACTTGACTTGACTTTGAAGGAGGCGCCATAAAATCTGGAGAAATACCATGGCCCACGCCATGATATCCCTCCCCCTCCTTCGTCATCAAACCCCCCCTCTTTGCCGCCCCCGAGGGGGGGCGAGGAAGGGGTGCGGCCCGTCTGGGCGCCGGGCAGCCGGCCACCCCCCCCAGAGGGCCGAGAGGCCGCGCGGCGGGCGGTGCGCAGGCGGGCGGGGGGCGGCGGCGGCGAGCCGTGCCGTGCTGGCCGCCGTGGAGCTCCTGCGCGGGGCGGAGGGCGGGCGGGCGGGCGCCTCTCGACGAGGGGGGGGAGGAGGAGGGCGGGGGGGCGAGGCAAAGGGGGAGGAGGATTATATAATTTGGGCGAGGGCGAGGGGGCGAGGGCGAGGGCGAGGAGGCAAAGGGGTGAGGCAAAGGGGCGAGGGCGAGGGCGAGGCAAAGGGGTGACGAGGGCGAGGGCGAGGGCGAGGGCGAGGAGGGTTCTATAACTTGGGGCCTGGAAAGGGGCACCAACACCAACGCAGGGGGCTGCCTCCACAGGCCACAGGGGGAAGATGATCCTCGATTTCGGTGTCGGTGGTAACATTTCGGCCACCTAGGAAGCCAGAATCGAGATCGGGATCTTCTTCCCGCGGTGGAGGCACACGGCCGATATTGGTGTTGGTGTCAACCTCCAGGCCTGCGATCCTATAGTTTGATTTGACTCCTATGGTTAACCGCTTGCCTGACATGGTGGTGCGTGCCAGGTCTGTCAAACAAGGCTTCCGACGTTCGCCGCAACGCCTTGCCGAGGATGCTGCCGTGTCTGGCGGCCAGTTCCGAGCTCTCCGCCCGGGCTGACGCCGCCGAGGGAAGTCATGCCTCGTGCGTGGTTTTGGTTCACTGAGGGTTTGCCGTAGAACAAAAAAACGAGGGAGAAGGGCATCATCATCAGGGAGAGGAGGAGGAGGAGGAGGAGGAGGAGGAGGAGGAGGAGGAGGAGGAGGAGGAGGAGGCGGAGGGGGAGGAGGGGGAGCAGGAGGAGGAGGGGCATCATCAGCCTAGAGGGAGGAAGAACGGGGAAGGGCAGGGCGAGGAAGCCGCTGCAGGAATTGGGCGGACCCCCAAAAGGGGGTTCCCGTGCGAGCGGGGACCCCCCTCCGACAACACGCACCCACATCGGGGGTCCCCAAACGTGGTGGTGAGAACACACGGTGGTGAGTCTGGGGCGAATTGGTGTCACCACCGGGTTTTGGAACTCGGGTGGTGTTTCGAGGATGTCTCGAGCGCGGGTGGTCCCGGGAATCACGAAACCCGGTGGTGACCCTGTGCCCCCAAACCTAGAAATTACGTTTTGGGGATTTCAGGTCACCACCGGGTGTCTCACCACCTGGTTTGGGGGCCACCAACCACAGCCCTCCCCGAAATTCCACCCCGGGAATCCTGAGCGTCGTATAGGCACCCGTGCTCGGTGCCAGCTCGCGAGAGCAAGACAAGGGGAGGACGAAGCTGAGGGGGGCGGCGAGCCGGGGGCAACCTCGCGGGCAGCCCCTGAGCCGCCCAGGCCCGCTGGGGGCGCTACGCGCGGCCGCCTGCAGGGGAGGATGCTGCTGCAGGATGCTACACAGCAGGCCTCCAGAGAGCCGCCAATCGAGTGACGGCGGTGGCGAAAGGCTTCGCCCGCCCCTGGGCCGAGCCAGGGCGACTAGTCAAGGGGCCCCAGGACACACAAATAAATACACACAAATAAAAGGATCCCCCATCTTTTCCCATATGCTCCGGTTTTTTGTCTTCCCGCCCAGCTCCCATATTTTCCGACATTTTCCAGGGGATCGACGATCAATTGTGTCTGTGTGTCTTTGTCCCTCCTGCACTGGGTTGGGCTTCGACGAGGGAGCTCTGCGTGCGGCGGTTTGGGAAGAGGGGGGCCACAAGGTGGGCCGCAACCCTGCGGGCGACTCCTGCGCCCCCAGGGCCCCCGCCGAACTGCTGCGCGCGGCCGCCTGCAGGGGAGATTGGAGGAGGAGGAAGAGGAGGAGGAGGAGGAGGAGGCGGAGGAGGAGAAGGAGACGGAGGAGGAGGAGGCGGAGGAGGAGGAGGAGGAGGCGGAGGAGGAGAAGAAGGAGGAGGAGGAGGAGGAGGAGGAGGGAGGAGGAGGGAGGAGGAGGAGAGGAGGAGGCGAGGAGGAGGAGGAGGCGGAGGAGGAGGAGGAGTAGGCGGAGAGGAGGAGGGGAGGAGGAGGAGGAGGAGGAGGAGGAGGCGGCCGAGGAGAAGGCGGAGGAGGAGGAGGTGGAGGAGGAGGAGCGGGGTCTCCTTGCTGGACGGCCTGCTTCGGTCTCCCCCGGGCAGAAGGCCCACCCCGTGGTGTTCGCTGCAACTCTGGGCAAAAGGAGGGCCGGAAGCGGCTAGCAGCCGGCAGCCGTGACCCCTCGGTCAGATGCGACGGTCCCCTCCCCACGACCCCCTCGCCCTCCCTCTTCCCTCGTCGCCTCTCCTATAACTCCTTTGCCCCCTGTCCCCTCCCATGCCCTGCAATCCCCTCCTGTCGCCTGCCCCTCCTCGTTTGCGCCGTCACATCCTCATTCGGCCCCCTATCCAGATCATACTCCTCCCGATCGTCGTCCTACTCATTCATTTTCCCATCCTTATCCGAACGTGACACCTCCGTGCTTCCTCAACCATCCTCTGGTCCTCCCCCCATTCTTACTATTGTACTCTTATACTTGATTATGTTCACACTCGAAACTAGAACTCCGTAGAACGATGCCAACCATCACTAACATTCGAGCACCAAGAAGACTCTCACGGAGGATCCTGCCATCACTTAATATTAACGTATCATTTGCCATCTCGTCCTCCTCGCGCCTCCCCCTCCTACACGCCGCTCATAGTCATCCTCCTCCTTGCCCGACCCCTTCCCACCGCTTCTTCGTCACCCTCGATCCTGCGCCTTCTCCTCATCATTATCCTTCTCTTCACTCGTCTCTCCTCGGCCACGGCCACGGCCTCCTCCTCCTCCTCCTCCTCCTCCTCCTCCTCCTCCTCCTCCTCCTCCTCCTCCTCCTCCTCCTCCCCCCCCGCCCCTCCATCTCCGACTCGAAGCTGCTGGCACGAGTGCCAAACCGACACGCTGCCCCCTGCCCCCCCCCTCCCCCGACAACAGTACCACAGCGAACCCAGAATTCCGAACAAGCAGACCTGTGAACGTGCCCAAGAGGAACTCAAAAGCCGCAGGCGCTCAAGGACAACGCGAAGCGGAGGGGTAATAGGGGAACGAATAATGACATAAACATAATAACGCTCGGAGGTCCGCGCGGAATTCTGGGATCGGCGATGGATACCCCTCCCGGGATCGCGGAGCGCGCAAGGGGCGGCGACGGATGCGTCGCCAAGGGGGGTCCATCACGGAGCAGAGAAATCCGCGCGGACCTCCGAGTTGTTATGCTTATGTCATTCTTCGTTCCCCTAGCGAAGCATACTGGGTAAGGGAACGAGGGTGCACGGTTTTCCCCGGGGCCGTAGGCGACCCGAGGGGGAGCAGGAGGAGGAGGAGGAGGAGGAGGAGGAGGAGGAGGAGGAGGAGGAGATGGAGGAGGGAGAAGGGGAGGAGGACCAGATGGACGAGGACGAGGAGGAGGAGGAGGAGGAGAAGGAGGAGGAGGAGGAGGAGGAGGGAGATGGAGGAGGAGTGGGAGGAGGAGAAGGAGGAGGAGAAGGAGGAGGAGGAGACGCAAGAGAAGGAGGAGGAGGAGGAGGAGGAGGAGGAGGAGGAGGAGGAGGAGGACGGGTCGCCAAAGCCCTCCAGAGAAACCCTCCAGGGCGGGAGAGGGACGGAGGTGTCCTGCGGGGCCGCGCCAGGCCCAGGTCGGGCGTTTCCTCCAGCAGGCGGATGGTGGACAAGACTCTTTGTTTTTTTTTTTCTCTCTCTCTCTCTCTCTATATATATATGTATATATATAACAAAAATCAAGACTCCCTGAGTACTTTGAATATCTCAAAGTTTCTTCCTGTAGAGGCAGCACGCCCGACTCAGCGCCAGACAAGGCGATCTCCCCCCGAGCTCTCTCCTGGGACAGCACCGCGAGGAGCGAGAGCAGGGAGTAGATGTAAGCTGCGCGCGGGCAGGCGGCGGCGGAGGAGGAGAAGGAGAAGGAGGAGGAGAAGGAAGCGGAGGAAGCGGAGGGAGAAGAAGAGGGAGGAGAGAGGGGGAGGATGATGATGATAATGATAATGATAATGATAATGATGATGATGATGATGATGATGATGATGATGATGATGATGATGATGATGATGATGATGATGATGATGATGATGATGATGATGATGATGATGATGATGATGATGATGATGATGATGATGATGATGATGATGATGATGATGATGATGATGATGATGATGATGATGATGATGATGATGATGATGATGATGATGATGATGGATGATGATGATGATGATGAGATGGGGAATAGAAGAGGAGGAGGAGGAGAGGAGGAGGAGGAGGAGGAAGAAGGAGGAGCAGGAGGAGAAGGAGGAGGAGGAGGAGGAGGGAGGAGGAGGAGGGGGATGTGGAGGAGGAAGAGGTGGAGGGCGAGGAGAGGAGGCGGAGAAGGAGGAGGAGAGGGAGGAGGGGGAGGCGGAGAAGAAGAGGTGAAGAGCAAGGAGGAGGAGGAGGAGGAGGAGGAGGAGGAGGAGGAGGAGCAGGAGGGGAGGAGGACGGTGGAGGAGGAGAGGAGGAGGAGGAGGAGGCGGATGAGTGGATGGAGGCGAGGAGGTAAGGGCGAGGAGGAGGAGGAGGGAGGAGGGAGGAGGAGGATGGAGAGGAGGGGAAAAGGGGGAAGGGGAGGAGGAGGAGGAGGAGGAGTAGGAGAGAGGAGGCGGAGGAGGAGGAGGAGGAGGAGGAGGAGGAGGAGGAGGAGGAGGAGGAGGAGGAGGAGGAGGAGCAGGAGGAGCAGGAGGAGGAGGAGGAGGAGGAGCAGGAGGGGGGCGCAGAGGAGCGACGGAGACCCGCCCAGACGGGAAGGGACCTCTCGCGGAAGAGAGGTCGGCACAGGCATCCCCTCTCGGGCCCTGCGGCGGAGTCCAGAAGCCTGTCCTCGCCGACTCGCCGATCCACGATTCGGGCCGCTCGCTGGGCGGCGGGGGCAGGACGCAGAATTCGCCGAGCACGTGGAGGAATCCAGAACCCACCCCCGCGTCCCACCGACTCTGGAGACGCGTTGGTTGGCGGGGCTAGGGTTCGGCTTATGTTGCCCCCATCGTACTCAAGGACCACATCCAGAAATAATTTCGAGCACCCGGAAAAGTGTCGAAACAATGTATGTCGAAACAGTGTCTCGAAATAGTGTCAGACGAATGTCTCCAAGGGCCCGACACGTGAAAACCCTCGAGTTTCGGTATTTGTTTGGTGCTCGGCATTCTTTCTGGTGATCAAGGCCAAAGTAGGTTGGAACATTAAAAGGTTCGGCATGAACTTACACCGTCGGAGCTCTGTGCGCACTTCTTGGGATCGGCGCCGGAAGCCCCGGCGCGCGGAGCGCGCCAGGGGCGGCGGCGGAGGCGCCGTCAAGGCGGGGGGCCAGCGCCGATCCAGAGAGGTACGCGCGGATTCTCGGGATCGGCGCTGGGCCCCCGCGGATGTCCTCGATCGGTGCTGCCCACTGCCCCCCCTCCTCCGTGGCGCGCGCGCCAGGGGGTCGGCGCCGGAGGCGAGGAACTCTGAGATGTTTTTCCTCTGCCTGCGGCCTCGTGCGAATGCGGCACAGGGACGCACAAGAAATAGACACAAATCCGAGGATTCCCAATATTTGTCAATATTCGCTGGATTTCCGTCTTCCCCTCCACTTCCTGTATTTTCCATATCCTCCTGGGGATCGACGATTACTTGTGTCTGTGATCCTGGGCTCCTTGGGGCTTCTTTGGGGTGTGGGGGAGCGAAGACTGGAGTAACGCAGGCCGGCAAGGAAGAGAAGCAGGGGGGGACGACTCATCGGCGGCGTCCAAAGAGGGGGGTCGCAAATCATGGCCGGAGGCATGTGCGCGGACGAGGAGGCAACCAGGGGCTGTGCTGAAAGGAGAGGGGCCATGAGATCCGGGGAGATCGCATGACCCCTGGTCAGGAGCCCCCCGCCCCCGGTCATCAACTCCCCCGAGGAAGACAGGGGGACGATTCAACAAGCAGCTCCTTGCCGCCGGGAAGGGATGTGGAGACGACGGCCCAAGGACCAGAACGACGACGCCCACGAGAAGGCCCGGAATCCAATGTGTTTATCATCGCCCAGGGCGCTGCTGCGTACGCGATGCCCCCCCGTTGACATCTCTGGACCAGAAAACAATCGGCACCACCCCACCTACGGCCCCACGGGCCGTAGCGTATACCAGGACGTCTGGCGTGGATGTTTGCATGGTATTCGCTACGGCCCCCGATGGGGCGTAGCGCAACGTGGAGGGCCGCAGGCGGGGGTGGTGCCGTCTGTTTTGTTGGCCGAATCTCGCCACTGTCGCAACACATTCGCGGCGGAGGCCGACGTGCCTGTCGGGCACGGCCGGCTCACGCCGTGCCGACGACGTGCGCGCCATTGCCTGCTTGCCGACGCTGCATCGGACGCTCTGCCTCGAACGATCGCGGCCTCCCGTAGGGGAACGAAAAATGGCATTAACAGAAAGATTCGGAGGTCCGCGCGTTCCTCCTCCTCCTCCCCCCCCCGCCCCTCCCCATCCGACTCGAAGCTGCTGGCATGAATGCCTATCCTACACGCTGCCCCCTGGCCTCCCCCTCCCTTAACAACAGCACCACAGCGAACCCGGAAATCCGAGCAGGCAAACGTGTGAAGGTGCCCAAAACCGCAAGCGCTCAAGGACAACGGGTAGCAGAGGGGTAATAGGGGAACGAAGAATGACACAAACTTAGGAAAACTCGGAGGTCCGCGCGGTTTTCTCGGATGAGCGATCGATCCCCCTCCCTGGCGCGCGGAGCGCGCCAGGGGCGGCGCCGGAAGCGCCGCCAGGGGCGTCCAGCGCGGAACCGAGGAATCCGCGCGGACCTCTGAGTTTTTCTCCAAATCGACTTGCCCTATAGGAGTTCTAACTCAAACCCTACTAATTCGTCCGTTGCCCCCCCCCCCCCTCCCTAATTCCTGTGGCCCCCCTTCTTGTCCTATGGCTATCATGTGCCTATGCCTCTCCCCTAACTCCTAGGCCTACGCCTCTCGTCCTCCTCCCATCCTCCTCTCGTCCTCCTCCTGTCCTTCTACCTATGCGGAGTCAACGCTGGCTGAGATTATGTCTCTGTCCTTGTTCGTTCCCCTTCTCCTACTACGATGGCGCACAACGCTTGACGCGCCAGCGGACTCTCCAGGCCACGGGGGCAGCGCTCTCAACCTGGAACGCGCAAGCGCTGGGGTCGCCGCCGCATATCGACACGACGCGGAGTTAGGGGGGTCACCTGCGAACCCTATATACCCCTAATCTTCCACGGTTTCTGAAGGGGGAGGGTGGGGGCTTCACTTCGCTCGGGAGCTCCCGAGCGAAGTGAGCCCCCCCCCCCTCAGAAATCGTGGGGGGTACTCCGAATCCCATATTGATCGTCCCCCGGGAGCTTCCGAGCGAAGTGAACCCCACCCTACCCCTCAGAAATCGTGGGGGGTACTCCAAATCCCTTATTGATCGTCCACCGGGTCCTGTTATTCAGGGCGCCCATTTTGTAGCCGGGGGGGTCTGGTTTATTAGGGCGCTCTCTTTGGATCAGAGCTCAGGGGGTCCGGTTTCTTAAGGCGCCCCGTCGAAGAGGGGGGCCCGGAATGTTAGGTCGCATTTGGAGGGGGGTCCGGTTTTTTTGGGGTGGGGTCGATCAGTAAAGGATTTGGACTAGGGGTAGGATTGGCATGTGGCCCCCTACCGGACCCCTCGTGGAGCAGCAGGGCAGCTGCGGGAGAAGCCGCCCACGTGAGCGATGCGGAAGAGGCCGTCGGAGCAGGGCGAACAGGAAGAGAACAGGAAAGCTCGGCATCGGAGAATCGTTTATGACCGGTCCCTGTCCCCACGGGCGTGGCCTGGGCCCCACGGGCCGATCTACCCCCCCTAGATGGGGATGTAGATGTAGACTGCTCCCTTCGGGTTTCGAGGGGTACTCCAAATCCCTTAGTAATCGACCCCCCCTAAAAAACAGGACCCATCTCCAAATGCGACCTACTATTCCAGGCCCCCCTCTTGGACGGGGCGCCTCAATAAACCGGACCCCCTAGGCTCCAATCCACAGAAAGCGCCTTAATAAACCGGACCCCCGCAGTTACAAAACAGGCGCCCTAAAAAAACTGACCTAGGGGACGATTCATACGGGCTTTGGAGTAGATGGGGATACAGACTGTTCCCTTCGGGTTTCGAAAAGTATTTTCTAATTGGGGTGGTGCGATGGTGGGGCTGAGGTACCATGCTCCGTTGGAGGCGGGGATCGGCTGAACAATACGGAGCATCGGTTCCCAAACACCGCCCAAGGTCCAAACGCACCAATGCTCCGAACTGCGTCCAGCCGTGAGTGAGGGGGCCTCCCGATGGCCACCTGACGATGCCTGCAACGGCCTCTTCGCCTCTGCGAAACAGCCACGATCCGAGATCCTCGAATTTCGGATCCACGATCCTCGAGTCTGGAAACCAATAAACCTTCACCCTCGAATCCTCGAATCCGCGATGCTCGAACTTCGAGGCCGAACAAGAAAAAAAAAAATCCCTAAACCGCCACGGCCACCGTGCGCGCGACCGTGCGCGCTCATCACGGCCCGTGCCCTCCCGCGCCCGCGCGCGCTCCAGCAGCCGCGCGCCTGCGCGCGCCGCGCCCGTGCGCGCGCGCTGCGCGCACCGCCCACGGGCCGCCGCGGGCGCGCGCTATCTCCCGCGGGAAGGCCCGGCGTGCCGCCGCGGTGGCGGCACGGCGGCGGGCCCGGGACCCGGCGCGGGCGCAGGCGGTGACGCTGGCGGTGGCGGCGACAGGCGCGCCGCTGTGCTCGAACTTCGAGGCCGACCAAGGCCGGATCTCCTTCACGAACCGCTGTCCTGACTCGCCCGCCTCCGGGACAGGGTTCGCCGCGGGCCTGCGCGACGACCTGGCGCGGTGGCCTGAAGTTGGCGGCGAGCGAGGGGGGGGGAGGGGGAGGAGGAGAGGGAGGGGGAGGAGGAGGAGGAGGGGGAGGAGGAGGAGGAGGAGGAGGAGGAGGAGGAGGAGGAGTAGGAGGAGGAGGAGGAGGAGGAGGAGGAGGAGGAAGAGGATGAGGAGGATATTTTTTGCCGCTGCACTGCTCTGCCCCGACTCATCGCGGTCCTCCTGGCAGCCAACCAGGCAGTCGTCGAGCACGGCACTTTAAGGACGAGCACCGCACAGAAATTCATGCATGCGGAGCTGCCCGCAAAGACGGGCCACACGACAGGGCCATGCTCCCGTGGTCCACGTCGAGCCAAATTTTATCGCTCTTCGCGCGCTTGCCAGCCAGGATTCGGTTCCAAGGGTGTTTTGACGAGCGGGGACAATGCGGCTTAACATTGCAACGCTGGTTCAAATAGCGCATATACCCACCCGTCGAGAACGCCTTGCACTTCAGGCATATGCAAACCGCACTGCCATCATAACAAAACAAAGCATTACATTTGAGACCCAGCTCAATTAGCTTGGTGTCGTAGAGTTTGTGGGTAGTCGAACACACACTATTAGGGGGCCAGCAGAACCTGAAGACCCTCAAACATTGCTTACACCACCAAAGCGTGTCCCTACAAACCCAGGAAAGGCGAGCCTTGAGCACTGGAATCACTGGCTCCTGCTGTGCACGAGTGGCCTGCGACAAATCACAAGCCGGCCACAACTGGAGCAATCTGGCTGCGAGCACACAAATTTTACGTGAGATAGCAAGGGCTCGATCGAGCCACTCCGACTGCTCAGGGCTCGACTTCTCATGGGCTAAGGCACCCAGCTTAGCATAATGATCGGCGAGGTCGTTACCCGCCTTGCAAAAAGTTACATGATAGTCGCCAGAAACGTCATCCTCAGTCATGTGACCCTTGACCTTAAGAATGGGATCCATCTTAGAGTCCGCAGTCCAGATGAACATTCCAGCGTGCACACGGTTAAAAGAAAGGTGTTCGGATCGGGGCAACGATCAGAGCTGCACGACGTTCTGGCAATCACTAAAGCCGACCGATGGTTCAAGTGCATTCTGACATGCTGCCGTACATGCAGCAAACTCACCTGCCTGCGCTGTCTGAGGGATGGGGAGAGCGAGAGGGGCGTAAGCATGACCCAACTCTTGCCCAGAACCGGAGACCGACACATATGACCAGCCCGTGCGGGAAAGCTCACGTATGACCGACCGAATGCAGGACCCGTCCATGAATATGTTACCTCTAACATGATAGTCATCACGCTCAGGGTCATACGCATGATGAAATATCGGCTCAGACCGAGTAGGTGCAGGAAAGAAATCCCAAGGATGAGACATGATCCCGTACGTGTACAACACTTGGTCGTGCACACTAAGATACTCCCAGGACGAGGGAGCGTGTTGAAAATCGTCGCCAAGTAGCTCTTGGCGAAGCTCACGAGACTGCTGGTTCTGACACATCCAAAGCCGATGGAACATCGTGTCCTGTTACAAGCCGCGCAAAGGACAGAGCACGTCAGGGAGGATATATCCGTGCTCCACAGCACGGCACTTAGTCCAGGGGGCCTGACAAACCAGCCCACGGATACACCCTTTTTTCCCACGGGGTGAACTTGCTGGACGCCATGGCCGCCAAGGGCACATCCAGGCACGCTCTCCTGCTGAGACCAAGGCTGTCCCCGTACGCTCGTTCGTGAGAACGCAAAACGACATAGCGGAGGAGTCGCTTCAGGAGGGCAGGCGAAACCAAGGTTAATGAAACCTCCACCCCCATGTCGTCGACCAACATCGTGAACGACGGCATATGCCAACCAAGACGCTCCACCGACAGCCTCATGGCCCCAATAGGGCCACCCACCTTCCTCCAGGTGGGGGCGGGCCCCGAGAACACGGACTCCCAAGAAAGCGCCAGTAAGGCTGGCCCAGACTTCCTTAGACCACCGCACAATAGGGGCCACCGCACAGTACCACGTGGGGTCGGCGGCAAACAGCAAAGCTGCGGTGAGAGAACGTCCTCCAGCCGTGGGGCTCATGAAGCGCCCGAGCGACCTGCGGAGGACAACCAGCTCGTGGTCCGAGGTGCCGTGCACCTCGCAACCATAGGTCCGACTAGGCAGGAGGAGGAGGAGGAGGAGAGGATGATGATGATGATGATGAGGAGGAGGAGGAGGAGGAAGAGGAACGGGAGGAGGGGGAGGAGGAGGAGGAG